TTTATTGATAATTTAATATATATGAAGATGAAACATAGGGTCAGGCGGGGGTAGCATGGTTGAATAAGGTACTATGTTCTGAGATTGTTTTATTAAATTTTAACTGAAAATCCTTGGAATGCGTATTTGTTCAGCCCAATTAATCTCCCAATTCGGGTATAAAATTTGGAGAAGTGATCTCATATAAAAAATAATTGGAAAACACGCAGTGGCCTGCACCCTTTCTATGGAATTTAATTGCATCCGCGTAGGATTCCGTTATCGTTTCGAAAACGCTCGGTGCATAAGTCATAATCTTGTTTTCTGTGTGACTGTCACATGTAGGGTTGGAAGATAACTCGAAAAATCTATAATTCACTTGGAATCATCTCATTGCCATCTCCTTTCTCAACTTCATTTTCCTAGTATTTTCTACTAGCATGCTCGCTCAAAGACCCGTTCTTTTCATGACAAACTGCAGCTCGTGGAAGTGAAGTGGGCAGCCATCGTGGCCGGTCTGGCGTCATTGTTCGTGACCTCGTTGCCTCAAGGTCATTCACCCCTTGCAGCGAGCCGTCCTAGACGCGCTGACCTGAAGCCACTCGACCGACTTCAGCGCGAACACACTTGCATCCGCACAGCCGCAGCGGCCACTTGAACGCACCCCACCCCCTGCAACCACAACCTAAGCCACTGGGACTCTACCCCTCGGCAAATTCAACACACACCGATTGGAGACCACTTCAGTTTGGCCCACGAGCCTACAAAAGCGGCTGCCACCACTGTCTCAGGGAATCTCAGGCCTGACTGGACGCAGTCAACACCAGCCCTGGCTTCGCCAGTGGCCACTGTCGCCTGAGAGGACAACTCCGGGTTCTGTGCACAATAAACTCCTCATTCTGGTGCCTTCTGTCTTCTCCTTCCAATCTGGGATTTGACTCTGCTGTGTCGCTATAGAAGTCTCAGTATCGTCCCTTCGGTAAAGCTACATCGCCTTTCGGTCTTTCGCTCAACAAGTTGGCTGGAAGATTCCTGTAACTTTCTTGGCAAAGACAGTGGAGAATGTCTGCCCTGCAGTGCTTATCACTGACATACCGTCGACAATAAAACCATAAAAAATTGACTAAATGACTTAGAGTTGTGATTCATTTTTATAGGCGGGTTCAAAATATGCGCAGGGCTTAGGTTTTTTAGGAAAAAAGTACCCGAGCCTGAATTACAGCCCGCGTTCACCTTAAAACCTTCTTACACATCCCCGTCTTGGACTTCGGCCAGCTAGGTACAATTATTCGACAAAGCAAATAAAGACTTGTCACCAATTTACGAGACTCCGTGTCTGCAGTATTTATTCGTTCCGTTACCGTCACCTTTCCAACCAACTAGAAATCCTTACATTCGAGAAAAGAATTAACAGTAATGAGTTAAAACATATTATTTTTTCTGCAAAAGTGAATAAGCTCATTTTGACGGCCACTTCGGAAACAAGTGAAAGTGAATCCCAGGTTCTTATTGAAAAGAATACAAAGCCACGGTCGCTGGGACGATGGCTTTGCCGACTTGCTCTTTCAAACTCAAACAAGATTTCATCATCAAATACTCTTTGAGTGCTACAACGTATAAGCATTTATGCACTCCAAGCGTGATCGCGCACTCGTTTTCCTTTTAATAAGTAAGGATTTTATTCCAAGTAATGTGCATGCAGTCCCGATGCAGGTCCCTCAAGGATATTGAATAAAAGGGCCAACCAGTTCTTATCTATAATTCAGGAGTTTGATAGAAACCTGAACATCGCACGCCACATCTAATTCGATGTCAGAGTCATGTCGTTTAGTTTCAACGGTCGTTAGCCTGCCTAAAATCAGAAAGTCTATCATGCTACTAGCAAATACATAGTAATATTTATTTCAACAATGTGGACATTATTGGCCTTAGCTACTGTTACTGCTCAGGGGAGTGCTCTTGCCGATAGAGTTGGCCCCCGGCAAATTAAGTCGCGTTACTATGCTTACTACATTCGTCCCGTCACCGTTACCGTCACCTTTCCAGCCGACTAGAAATCCCTACGTTTGAGAGAAGAAGTAACAGTAGTGCGCTGAAACATATTATTTTTTTCTGCAAAAGTGAATTAGCTCATTTCGACGACCATTTCGGAAACAAGTAAAGGTGCATCCCAGGTTCTTGTTGAAAAGAAGACAAAGCCATGATCACTGAGACGGAAGCTTTACCGACTTGAGCTGTCGAACTCAAACACGAGTTGATCATCAGAGACACTTGTAGTGCAACAGTGTATGAGCATTTATACACTCCTAGAGGGATCTCGCATTTGTCTTCCTTTTAATAAATAAGCATTTTACTCCACGTAATGTGCATACAGTCCCGATGCAGGTCCCTCAAGGATCTTGAATAAAAGGGCCAACCAGTTCTTATCCATACTTCGGGTGGATGTCGACCAGGAGTGTGCCAGAAAGTTGAACATCGCAAGCCACATCTAATTCGATGTCAGAGTCATGTCGTTTAGTTTGAAGGGCAGCTAGTCCACTTAAAATTAGAACGTTTGTCATGCTACTAACAAATATCTAGTAATATTTATTTCGACAACGTGGGTATTATAGGCCGTGGCCACTGTTACTGCGCAGGCCACCGCTCTTGCCGATAGAGGTAGCTCCCGGCAAATTAAGCCTGTTACACAAGCAAAGCCTCCCAGCCGACCAGAAGACCACTTCTACTACCGTTTGTGAAGATTTTCATGCCGGAGGGTGTTTCCTATTATCCCTGAATTCGGCAGGCGTTCGTTTCCATTCACACTTTTCGTACACAACTTTAAGATCTGAAGATCGTGGCGGATGAAGGGTGACACTGTGCTGACTGTGAGCAACGTTCGTGATGCCACAATAACGTCCAGAGTGATGACGCCTTACAAGTTGAGAATCTGCCGGATCGGCTACCTACCACGTGCAATGGAATTTTTCTGCATGGTCGCAACTGCTGCTTCATAAGATTTGAGGATGACCTCGAGAAAGGCGTTCCGTTTTCCGCCAAATGAGGTTGTATTGGGTAGACCTAATGCAGGACCAACGCCATCTACTGTATAATTCGAGATCAGCCTCGATTTAAGCGGTTCACAGTTCGCCAAATCAGGTCGTGCGTGAGAGACCAGATCTTGATCAACTACAAGATCCACGTCGTCCGTCGTTCTCGACAGGAAACTCTTGCCAAGCTGGCCTTCGTGGGATCGAGTTTTACACGAACACTGATTGATAAATCAAACGCCCGCAAATGCCGGCTGGTTTCCTTTCAGCATTCCAACTGCTAACGCCAGTTTTAGGACACTTTCCTAGATCAGTTTACTTCGAAATAGTTTTTTGGGAAAAGACATACAAATAAATTTACCCCATGTTTGTGGGGGACAGTCCAACGACTGCATCTAGTGGTCGTTATGTCGAAGTGGATTGTGGATAATGTGATAGTCCCATATGGTGCGATAGGATGCTGCATACTTTTCACTTCGTACGTGGCAATCAACATGCGGCAGTTGTAATTATCGCCTGGATAAGTGGTTTATGGAGTATGAAAGTTACTTATACTACTATGTAAAATTTAGTAACAATTGTTGGTGTAGTACAGACACTGCATTAAACGCTAGGTCTCCCCATATAGGGCGACCAGTAACGCAAATACATGGAAGTGTGGGACCCCTAATTGTTAGTTTAACCATGTGCGCAGGGGACTTCAGAACGTGGTGCACTTCAACGCGCATAATCCCATGCAACTACTGTGTCGCGCTGTCTTCCAATGAATGCCTCACAAAGTATCCTCATGTTTTATTCTGCCATATGAGGTAGAGCGACCATTACCTGCCAACCATGTCCTGTAGTGAAAGTTGTGGAATACCACATGCTCACTACATAGTGTTCTGCGAGCATTAAGCCTCGCGGTTTGTTCACTTCAAGAGAGTTCTCATATCCGAGTTACAGGCGTCTCCCGTCCGTGCTAACAGTAGCTTTCAATTTGATAATTTAATCAAGCCAATTTTTGGGTGTCTGTGCCTTTTCGCCTATGTCATCTTGTATCAAAACGTCTGGGTTCTAGTACGTTCTTGTTTCTACCTCACAGGAGGGACGGCAGTTGGTTACATTCCGCTTTCCTCTCCTGTGCTGAATACAATCTGTTTGGTGAAGCCGTTACGTATAACACATTTGCCCAGTTTTTGTACGCATTCGATGTTCCTGAACGCTATAACTTCAATGACCTTATTATCTATTAGCCCTGATAACATGCGGCGATGAGGATGAATGAACACATTTGATTACACTTTCTTCTCGTTCCTGTGCCAGGCACGTTCATAGCCGTCCGTTACGCCAGGCCCTATCACCCGTCCTGTTGGGGTGGAAATCGTGCAGGTTGTGTCGCGCATAATACTCTTACGCATCTATCAATAGTAGTAAAACGGGCAAATTTTAGTGACTCTAAGACGGCCAAAGTGCTGACGCAGGAGTGGGAAGACATTCTAACGTTCCTAGTATTTCGTCTCACGTACGAATTTGGAGAGTGCCATTCTCTGTCTCCGAAAAAAATGTCAGTTCTCCGATTGCCCAAACAAGATTTTCGATTGATGACAACATGTTCGTGACCTTCTGTCAGTTAATTTCCCACTTTGTTTTTCCTGTGTTGAGTATTTTAGTTGACTGCAATGATCGACTCTAGGTAAGTCAAATAATAAGGAAGCTGTTAACCTCTGTGACTTCCAGTTTTATCCTCAAGAAATGTCTGTTTGGAGTTTTGGACTGTCTTCTGCACGCGTTGACGCCTGGTCAATAGCATGCCCATTGTTGGTTTGTGAAAGCGTGCAGTGGATGAGTAACTGTGGTCAAAATTTTCATTATCCATCTTGACTCTACCATCGACTGAAATTCGTTTGATGAATGTACATCATATTATACTACTTTGTAAGTGTTAGTAACATTTATTGATCGCGTGCAAAATGCAGGCTTTCGGAACATGCGTCATCATTGAGACGCCGGTCATGTAAGGCAATTGTTTTTACAATAAACAAGGAGGGGACGCAGGAGTTTGGCTGGGGAAGTCCTGTCTCCCCTCCGAAACTGGAGATTGGCGTCTTCGGTGGCAATCGTTACAGAAGAAGACGAAATGAAGTGAATGGAGGGGAAGTAAAAGACGTTGTAATGCAGAAAAAGTAGGATGAGGATGAGGATGAGGATAAGGATGAGGATGAGGAGGAGGAGGAGGAGGAGGAGGAGGAGGAGGAGGAGGAGATGGGGGATAACGATTAGGATGGGGAGCGGAGTGAAGGACGATGAGCTGAAGGATGAGGAGGTGGAGGGGAGTGGATGGGGTAAGCTCTAACGGAAATACGACAAGAGAATCCATGTTAATGATCAGTGATGCCTCGCAAACCCGCGACTACATAGGCAGGCATACGCAAATGACCCCTTGCTATTCCATGCCAACAGGCCATTTTGGACGAAAATAAAACCGCAGACAACACAAGCAGAAGTGAAAATAATTTGAAACGACAACAGAACGTCCGGTTAATTTAAGAACAACACCATAAAACAGGTGCAGGAATTCCTTGAAATCGGCGATAACGGTTGGACGACAGAGCACAAATCAGAGAACTTTGGGCCTACTTACACAGGAGAGAGCGAAACCTCTTCCATCTTTCGAACCCCTGTCTGAGGCGATAAATCACTGCATCATGTGAAATACACAATTGAATTCGCACAGGCATGGAACATCAATGAAACCGTCACGATGTGACCGGCAGAACGCTCAGTCCAAATTCGTCCTGTTTTCATGCACTCATTCGACTGCGTTCTGTACTTATGGCTACGACAACCATAATTCAGTGACCCTGTCTACTTGAGTGTCATTGAAATACTTTTGGTCAAGTCTCATGAGTGCAATGCTTCGAGAAGTGCACAGACACCAGGTCGGCATGGGCAGGTGTGAAAGCAAATATACTTGAAATCACAGTGAGCTTGCTGAGGAAGGAGGCAGAAAGTTTCCGTTACCTATTCCTCCTATTCCACCTATTCCAAACACTGAGGACACTTCTTCTTGCAAAATGCTTACACGCAGAGCGTTAAAGACGCCCAGGTGACTGAAGTGGCCTTGTCGGGATGAAACTGCATGCAAACATCTCAAGGCCTCGTACTAGTAACGGTCTGTTCAGCTGCAGGTCGTATTATGAAGCGGTTTTAATGTCAGAGTTTATCAATCTACCCGATGGATATCATTGTTTACGACCAGTCTTTAACTGTGTCTGCTTAGTCCCTTCGTCAAATGGTTTAACAAAGTAAAATGAAGGTCTACAAGTAAGACAATGCTTAGCTACGTAGTCTCCGACCTTGTCCACTATCTATTTTAGATTGTCATGTCGATTTGTTGTCGTATGACCCTTACTATGCTCCTTCACACTTTGCAAATGCATCCGACTGAGACTTAAATCTGGTCAAAATCATTCTTGTGCACTTTTCACCCTGCGTTAGACCAGAGAACTTAACAAATTTGCAGTATTCGATGCTACTTTGTAAGTGTCAGTAACGTTTATTTATCGTTTCTACCATGCAAATACACTGATTATTCGCCTTCGTGGAAGCTGAGGCCATGTGAAGCTACCGGTTTCATATAAGCAGTCAGCCCATCAGTGCTCTGCAGAATCTCACTTTTCGGGTTTGCTGGACCCTTGGTCATAGGTTATGGGAAAACCCTGGGCTTAATAAATGCGACTTTTGACCTGACCACCATCAGGACATTTCAGTAATCAATGAGGTCGTAGAGTTGTTGGTTACTCCAAAATTAGGTGGGAAGAGATGGTGCGTCGGTGGAAGAACCAGCATTAGTAGAAGGGTAGGGAAGATAGCTGGACGATTCACAGGGCAGATTAACTGGATTTGAAGGAATGTTGTGGCTTGCGAGCCTGCATATGGGTGACACATTGGGAAAAACATGTCAACTGCCCTAGAGCACTATTTGGTAGGTCCACTGTTTTTAAGTGATTGGTAAAATCCGCATCGATTTCAGTTGTCATTAATGCAGGGGTTTTGTGTGTCCAGCACTTATGTGTTGTATGAAGCGACGTGCACTGGGACCTCGCTTCAGCTGAAAGCCCCTTCATGCAGTCCTGTCCCGGATCGGTTAGAAGACCGGTCAGGCTGTGGCTTACTCGAGAGTTGTTGCGAATTTACGCCATCAGAAATTCTCGAATTCCTTGGCAAGTTTTTCCACCTGCAATGATAACGCATGTTCCGAAAGCCTGCACAATGCACACCATCAATAAATGTTACTAACACTTACAAAGTACTATAATAGGCTGCATATAATTGAGCGGATTTCGGTCGATGCTAGTCAAGATGGATGGGCATCATTGTCGAGTATGTCATGGTGTCGCAACTCGGACCTTGCAGGACCAAGACTGGCATGCCCCTCGGTCAGAACAACATACGCTCGCAGATACTGATTTCGTATATTTTGCCGGACAAAGTGTTATTTCCTGTTCTAGGGCACCTTCTGAAATTAGAACATTCTCCTCCTACGTTAGGTGAGATATGTCTGTTGAGAATGCACACGCAAAATAAGCTTCCCTTTAAAGTGTTTTGATCCTCAGTGCTATCTCTAGGTATATTAATGATAATTGTTATAGTTGTGTTCTTAAGCATCGGCAGGTTACTATCAATGTAAGCAATACTGAGAAGTCTGTTTTTTCCTCCATACCTTCAGAATAGTTGCGCCCGGGAGTTAAAACTCGACTGAAGCTCCAGGACACTCTCTCGCCCCTCCCACATACAACCAACAACTACCTTAATATTTAGGACAAATGTTAGTCCGAAATGACGGTGTGTGCAGTTTCATGCGTTAAATACACATCTGTGACCATCAGGCATGAAGGCTGGGATCAGTGAACTACGGAATTAGGATTTCCCGAAAATGGGACTTCAAAACTCTGATATTCCGTGTCTTTTTTTAGCTCATAATGTATTCATGACTAAACGGCGTTAATATCGTCGTTACGCTTCTGACGGTGAGTAAGATCTATTGAAAGAATAACTGAATTGAGCTGACATGCGGCCCTTCGTCAAAACGCAGCAATTATTTCAACAGCAATTTGGAATTTTTCGTACCCCGATGCAGTCAGAATTATGGTAACTGACGATACTTGATCCCTACATTGTCGTTATGCAGCCGCCCACTCCGATTGACAGTTTAAGTCCTTTCACTTATTGAGACAATCTGCAAATCCTGTGGTAGACGGCAAAGGATCGTTTGTCCTGGTCTAACTGATGGGCAGTACACGTTATTCGATGAAAAGGCGTAGAAACTTGCTGTCTCACGTTGCTAGTTTCCAGGTTAGCCACATTTTTGATGTTAGACAGAGTGGGCAACAAACCCTGCGCGGGTGCCGTGTTATCAGTATCAGTATCAGTATATTTCAGGGAAAGTAGGTGTGTACCTTTGAAATCCCTATTGGTTACATGCAGAGGATATATATGGAGGAAATGGAAAGGAAGTAACATGAAAGAAATGCGAGGGGAATAGCAAAAACTGTACAGATGAGCGCAGAATGTCATGCGTTAACAGAATTTAGAGGCACATTAACTTGTTTGTCGATCAAATACAGTGGACAGTTGAGGCACACTTAAGATACGGGAAAAGAAGTAAAATTGTTTAGTCTACGGGCATCGTGGTGAATGCGAGCAGCGGTGTGCGACGTGGTCCAAGGTTGATATATTACATAAACACATGTTACTTGAATGTTGGTAGTAGCATCGTAATAACAATAAATTGTCGACGTTGGCTGTTAAGGTGACCGTAGTCCGGCGTTATTGTGGTGCGCGCTCCAATGCTGATCTAGCATCCGTTTAAAAGTATCTACGGAGCCCGACATAACAACATCCTCAGACAAGGCATTCCAAGCTGCAACCACTCTGTTGGGGAAGAAGAACTTTCGGGTGTCTTGCCGGGCACCAGCCACACGCAGTTTCAGTGGATGGCCTCTCAAGTTGGTCGTAGTCGCCAACTCGAAGAAGTATCCAAACGCGAGGCAGCAGCCCTGATTGCGCACGATGCGGAAAGCTTGTAGTAGGTCCCCACGTAACTGTCTGTAACTCAAAGGAAAGAGGTCAAGATTAGCTAATCGTGTTTCGTAGGGTAGTGACCACTGCCCAGATACAAGTTTCGTTGCTCGCCGTTGAACTTTTTCGAGTATGCCCAAGTCTTTAGCGGTCCAGGGTCTCCATGCTTGGATAGCAAACTCCAGGTGCGGTCGCACAAAAGTTTGAAAGACCTTGGCGAAACAGTCTTCATCAAAGGAGGAGAACGTCCGTTTGACGAGGTATAGAATGGACATCGCCGACTTGGCTACCTTTGAGCATTGCAGCGAAGGCTTAAGCGAGGTTGTGATCCATACACCCAAGTCCTTCTGGGCGTCGACTTCTTGCAGTGGTTTGGCAGTCAGACGGTAGACCGTGTGGTTAGGAGTACTGGTTCTACCGACGCGTAGGAAATTGCACTTGTTTACATTGAACGGTAGAAGGCAGTCTTTTGACCATTGCTCGAGGTGGTCCAGATTTGTCTGCAGTCGCGCCTCGTCAACTTCGCTTCGTATGGTACTCCAGATCTTTATGTCATCGGCAAACATTGCGACATCGCAATTCAGTTCGTTTGCGCAGTCATTGACGTATACGAGGAACAGTGTAGGGCCAAGAACAGAGCCTTGAGGAACACCACTCCTAACGGAAACCTCGGCAGATTGTTGGTCACTGACGTGGACGGCTTGAGAGCGGCCGATTAAAAAGCTCCGAATCCGCATCAGAAGCTTACCTCGCACTCCTGCACGGCTACGTTTGTATAGAAGGCGGTGGTGAGGCACACTATCGAATGCCTTTTTATAGTCGATATAGATGACATGCACCATATCTCCTCTATCAACAGCCCTAGTCCAGTGTTCCAGACAGTAGAGCAGGTTTGTCACACAGGATCTGCGTTTGCGGAACCCATGCTGAGAATCGGAAAGCAAATTGTTTTGTTCAAGGAACTGCATTAATTGTTGCTTTATTATCTTCTCCATAATCTTACATCAAATGGAGGTGAGGCTGACAGGTCTGTAATTGTTCGCAGAGACCCGACTTCCGCCCTTGTACAGCGGCGTAATCCACGCGGACTTCCAGTCGGGTGGCAGATATCCGGTCTCGAAGGATGTATGGAAAAGCATGGAGAATGGCTTAGACAACTCACCGGCGAGTTCCTTCAAAATCTTCGTCGGAATCTCATCGGGACCAGGTGATTTGGATTCCTTTAGCCTCAGCAACTCCGTCAGAACCATACCCTCAGTGGACTGGACGGTCTTTATAACTGGGGTGTCTTCGAAGGATTGAAGGGCCGAAGGGTTGAATCCTGTTTCGCTACTAAAAACAGACCGAAAAAATTCTGAAAGGTGATCAGCTTTCGCCCTGTCGTCGGTGAGATGTTCGCCTTCGGCAGTCCTCAGCAGGGGTATTGAGTCCTTGTTCCGCGTGCACTGCCTAATGTAACCGTAGAATAATTTAGGGTTCTCCGCGGCACGTTTAAGCAGATCCCGTTCGAATTCCCTTCTAGTTTCGAGGATAAGGCCCTTGACTCGATTTCTTTGAATTTTGTACGCGCATATAGATGTGGGGCTCCTGTCAGAAAGCGATTTTGTCCACAGCCGTCGTTTTGTATTCACTTCATTCTTCAAGGCTTGCGTAAGCCGTCGAGGTCTGTTAGTTAACCTCTTCCGTGAAAGCGGACAGTGGTTTGCCATCAGCTCGTGCAGAATTTCTCGAAACCGTTGCCAGTCTTCGAATATGCTCCCAACAAATATGGACTCCAACTCAATGCGTGAACTTTCAGCCCTCATTTGGTCGAAATCCCCGCGCTAAAGGTTTCTTCTAACTGTCACGGGTTTCTCGGGCATGGAAAAAAGCGAGTTATCCCATAGAAGAACGACGTGGTCACTTTTACCTAAGGGGGGTAGGCATGACACCTCATCAATGCTGTCCTGTGACTTCGTAAGGACAAGACCAAGACAGTTGGCTTGTTGGCCTTCGCGTACTCTAGTGGGTAACATGACGTGTTGAGTGAGAAATAACTTCAGTGCCGTGTTCAGAAAACTCCTATCGAAGGTCTGTTCTGAGCTATTTGCATGGGTCGAACTCCAGTCAATATGGGGCGCGTTAAAGTCGCCCGTGATCAGGATATCCGGCCGCGAAGCGAACTATTCGAGCTCCTCCAGCAGGCGAGTGTCGGCCATGTTGTCCCGTCTCGGCGGTCGATAAATTTTCAGGACATCGAGGTTAAGCGAGCTCGGCACTTTAATAGACAGCCAGATTGCCTCGGAACTGCACGAAAAGTTATCTGCTTGTATTTGTTGTTCCTGTGCTGATTCTTAGACGAGGATTCATGTAATCAACTCAAAAAACGGTGATTTCCTTCGTATGCACAATCTGACACAAACTTCAGTGTGTTTCGAATTTTGACCCTTCTTCATCAGCGGGCTCCGTGTGTGGGATATGAGCAATTTATTTCAGGGGAGACTGCTGAAAGCCGCCGTCTTCCCTTCTGACTGATATCAAACTGTCTATGTCATGTTCGCTTCTGCCTGAATGACGGTCGAACAAATGCTTCTAACTACCGTTTTTTCTGGCCTAGATGGTGACCGCAGCAACGGCGACGGCCTTATTGAATCTGACTGACAGTCATGTTACTGTGAAATAGGTAGTAGCCTGCGTATATGTAATCACATGTCTGTGCACGAGCTGGGACGCATGCTGTTTAAAACACCAGGACTACTAATATAAGACCGCCAGTAAAGCCAATACTTGGAATTGTGTAACCCCCTACTTGTTAATTTAACAAAGTGCGCAACGGACTTCACAGAGTGGCGCACTTCACTCTGTGTATAAATACTGCGGGGAGGTTAGCTGCGTATTAGGGAGTGCTGTCTTTCACTGAACGCCTCACAAAATATCCGCTTTTTCGTCCTGCTTCATGACCTAGAGCCTTTGTATACCCGTGTTCACCAGGGAGTATTCCACCTACTTCAATCTTCGAGGATTTTTTGCTTTAACAGAATTCTCGCATTTCAGTTATCAAAGTCTTTCGTCCGTGTTTATGGAAGCATTTCTTTTGACAGCTTTATCAGCGCAATCTTCGTTAAAGCTTTCGAAAGAGACTCATGGCAACTGAGCTGAGAAAAATGGGGCAGATGAATGCTGCTTACACCAATGCCTAGTAATTATTTGGAGGACTGTACCTGTCGCCTAAGTGTCAAGATTTTAGTGTGTTTTCGTATTTTACTTCAAATGAGCTCACTTCAGGAGGGAGTGGCAGTGGGTTGCATTCCGTTGTCCTTTTGTCGAAGCTCCCGCATACAGCACTTTTGTACCGTATCCGTAGACCTTCTATGTCCCTGATCTAGATAAATTCAATTATCTCACCTCTATAAGTCCTAATAATATGCGGTGTTTGGGATGGGTTAACGCATTCGATCACACTTTCTCTGTGTTACTACTATGTCATGTATGTTCGAAGAGGTGCGGTACGCCAGACCGTGCAACACGTCTGCTTGGGGTATAAGTCCTGCAGATTGTGTATCGCATGATAGTATTACGCACCTATCAAGAGTTGTAAAACGGGCAGACGATTTTAGTGACTCTAAGACGGCCAAAGTGCTGACACAGGAGTGGGAAGACATTCTAGCGTTGCTAGTATTTGGATATGGGGGAAATATCGTCTCACCTACGAATCTGGAAACTGGCATCCTCTGTCTCAGAAAAAAGGGTCAGTTCTCCGATTGCCTGAGCTAAATTGTTGATTGTTGACAACGTACTCGTGACCTTCTGCCAACTAATTTCCCAATTTAGGTCTTCTATGTTGAGAAATTTATTTGACTGCAATGAACATCTGTGGGTAAGGTAAATAACAAGTAAGCTGTTAACCTCTGTGACTTCCAGTTTTATGCTTGCGAAATGTCCCTTTAGAGTTTTAAACTGTCATCTGCACACGTTGTCGCATGGTCAATAGCATGTCCCCGGCTGGTTTGTGGAGACGTTCAATGAACGAGTAACTCTGGTCAAAATTTCCATTATCCATCTTGACTCTACCATCGACTGAAATTCGTTTAATTAATATACATCGTATTATACTACTTTGTAAGTGTTAGTAGCATTTATTGATCGCATGCAAAATACAGGCCTTCGGAACAAGCATCATCATTGAGACGCCGATCATGTAAGGCAATTGCTTTTATGATAAACAAGATGCAGACGCTGGACTTTGGCTATGGAAGTTCTGTCTCCCCCCTCCCTCGAAACTGGCGATCGGCATCATCGGTGGCAGTCGTTGCAGGAGAAGAGAAAATGAAGTGAATGGAGGGGAAGTAAAGGACATGGGTAT